CCCAACCCGCCCCCCCCCTCCCTTGGCCTGCTCCTGAGCAGGAGGGTGCTGCTCAGTGGAGGCCAGTGCATGCTTTTGCTGCAGCCTGCACCCATGGGTGCCGCTCTGCTCCAGGCAGCTGGGGGAGCACCCCAGAGCAGCTTGTGTTTTTACCCTTTTCTCTAGCCCCACTGCATGGCTGAGCAGTGCTGAGGACCTCTGCTGTCCCCCTTTAGCTGTCCTTGGGTTTGGTAGGCTTTGGAGGTCATTCATGCCATACTGGGCTCCTCCGCCTGTGGCTGAGGAGGCGATTAGTGGAGCCTACAGCAAGATGCTCTAGGCTGAGCCCTCGACTCCTGTAATTTTGTAATAATCCCGCCAATGCTTATTGATACCTAGCTTGGCCTGGAGACGGAGCTCTGTTGACCTCCCCAGGCCCGCAGGAAGATGCTCAGCATGTGGCCGTAACCACTGTGGGGTAGTGGGAGCATTGTGCCACTGTGGTCCCCAGCAGGCTTTGCTGAGAAGAGGACCTCGCGAGGACAGCAAGCCCTGCACCAGTGTGCAGCGCCTGTCATGCGTGGAGCCCCACGTGTGCCCTTGAGGGCTCTCCCCATGGTCTTCCACAAACCCCGCTCTGGGGAGCCTCCCCGAGGGTCCCTCCAGCCTGTAACGAAATGCATTTGGAGTGGTGCTCTCGCTGCTGCCGCCAAAGGAAATCTGCATCCAGCAGTGAGGGCTGCCTGCACTCAGGAACGCCTTCTGCGGCCTGGCATCCACCAGAAACTGTTGTGTCTGTTGTTTGGAAACCCAGAGAAAACAGTCGAGTGCTGATTTTTCCAGTCACCTAGGAGCACCCAGGCTAGCAGGAAAAAACGCTGCATACGGAATTCCTGTCTTGGGATGCACGACTTTGGGCTGCTTCCCTGCTAAGCCCAGCCTGATTAAAGATGATTAAGGAAACACATGTACTTGGTGATGATGCCAGGGAATTTCTGATAGAAAGGAGGGTCTGGGTTTAGAAAACTGACCCAACTGGGAGAAGGAGTCTTTTTTACCCAAGTGCAAAAGGATTTTGCTGTTGTCTCCATAAGGAGACCTCAGAGTGTTAATTCCTCTCTAGGCTCCATGTGTTACAGGATCCGATTTTATTTCCTTCCTTGCTATAGTTAATGTATCCCACTTTTTGCAGCTCTGCTGTTGCAACAGGCCCAGCAGCTCTGAGGAGAAGGTTTCAGAGGGAACAAAATTCAAAGTCTGTGTAAACATTGCCCAAGCTAAATATTAACACTTCCAGGATGCCTCTGGAAATGAATAACTGCTGTCCTCACTTTGGGAAACCTGTAGGGTCGTGCATGCCCTCAGCAGGCTGCTTGTCACTCTGCCCTGGGCACCACTTGGCCCCAGCACCCTGGCACGTGCTGTCAGTGCCAAGGTGGACCTTAACTCTCCTCTGGGTTTTCTGCCTTGCAGCAGAAGAAGTCGTACCTGGAGCGCAGCGTGAAGGAAGCAGAAGATAACATCCGGGAAATGCTGATGGCTCGAAGGGCACAGTAGCTGTGTGGTTCCCCCTGGACCTCCTGCCAACACCTTCTGGGTGGTTTTGGGCAGCTCTGCCTGCACACTGCTCACCACCACCCGGCTGCACAAGCTCTGTTCTGTGGCAGTTTCAATAAAACTCTGCTGCAAAGCCTGAACTCGTTTCCTCTGCCTGCCACCTCGGCATCTCGCAGCGGCTGCTCTCCCTGTGTGGATTTAATGGCAAAAGGAGGCGGTGGTGGGATTTGGGGTGAGGGCCCTTCAGGGAATCCTGCTTCACTTTAAAGCAGCCATAGCCCTTGCCCTATGGAAAGACCCCTGTGCAGCTCAGCGCTGAGCAGTGAGGAAGGCTTGCTGCGTTGTTCTGCTGGAACCGGGGAGAAGGGAGGCTGGCAGGGCAGGGCAGAGCAGGGCCGGCCATCACAGGCACCCCCAGGTCCATGGCAGTTGGTCATTTATTCTGTCTCAGTGGTGACAGGTCCTGGTTCCCTCCTTGTACACACGGGCCTGGCAGAGCCCCAGCACGGTAGCGAGCTCATGGAAGGCCAGTGCCACCCTGTGCTTTGTGCTCACAGTGCACCAGCCCAGCCTCCAGCCTCCCCCTTCCCCTCCCCCGGCTTTGGGGCTTTTCTGAAATGGAGCTTTCAGGGACGTCTCCTCTCCTGACAGCAACTCCTTGGGATCTTGGAACCAGGCAGGAGGTTCCAGGTCCCATTGCCGACCCCCGCCGTGCGCTCATCCTGCAGGCACACGGGTGCTATCACTCTCTGCGCTGGCCCTTCACCACCACCTTCCCCCCCAGGCTACGTCACCTGCTCACCAGCTGCTCTGGCTTCATCTTCCTCGGCAGTCACTGCCCCACGGAGATGTCTGATCCCCCCCAGTGCACTCACACCCTGCACACTCAGTAGGGAGCCTACTGAACTCAGGACAGAGTTCAAGAGGAATTTAATAAGATCAGACAGACTGCGCTGATCAGGCACTTGGACAATTGTCCTGACCAGCTGGTCATTCACACCCAACTGGTCCTTTCATCCCTATACCTCCCTATTTTTCCACCCCCCCCCCCCCCCCCCCCCCCGCTCAGGGGCTGCCTTGCACTGGGCTGAGCTTCACTTCACCCCCTGCCGTGGCCTGGCACTGGAATGGGGAAGGAGGTGTCCAGGCTCACTGGGGGGCTGGCAGAGCCCTCTCTTCTCCAGCACCCTAAGCCTGATTTCTGCGTGCCCCCCCCCACCCAGCAGCTGGCACCCTGTACCGCAGCGTGGCCTTGGCTGCTCCCCCAGAAATGGCCCTGGCAGGCACAAGGCGAGTCCCCAGCCTTGCGCAGTCACCTCACAGCCACAGGCTGGGCCTCGCTTTGTGTCAAGTAGGAGCAGGACCTGGTCTGGAGCCATTTGCACACCCCCCCTCACAGCACTCCAGCATGGGAAGGGGGTGAGGACTCGGGTTTTGCTCCAGCACCCATCACAAACACCCACAAAGTAGCTGCAGTCCTGGGCTCGTGTGGCAACAGCAGCACATCCCCCCGCGGCACCCTGTCCTCGATACCACACACAGTGCCTGTCCTTGGGGACACAGAGGGGACACCACATCTCCCATGCTCCATCAGGAAGAGTTGCCCTGGGTTCCAGCTGAACCACAAGGGGCTGGAGGGAGGGGGAGAGGAGGCAGCTGGGCAGGCAGGGGCATGGGTGCAGGGCAGCTGAACACTCCACTTTTAACCCCCTGCCAAGGTGAGGTAAGCCAGGGACCACCCTTCTGAGCCCCGATGGCTGCTGAGCTGCCAGGGAGGTGACAGTAACCGTTCCCAGGGCAGAGAGCCCCTGGGAGCCCAGCAGCAGAGCTGAGCTTAGGGCTGCAGCGTGCGGAAGGGCAGCAGCCCCCAAGCAAGAGGCTTGAAGGCTCCCGGCGACAGGCTACTGCCAGGAGCCCTCATCAGCTCAAGATAAATTGTCTTGCCCCAGAGCAGAGGCCCAAAAATGGCATTTCTAAGACCCAGGCAGAGGCGTAGAGAGTGCCCAGGCTGTGCCGGATGCAGTAGGCATGCAAGCGGGGGGAACTTCCAGACAAAAAAAAAAAAATGTAGACAAACCCAGTGAAGTGCTTTGTGAGGCCTGAGCAAGCCTCGCAGCAGGGCAGGTGTGGCCCTGCCATGCTGTTCTCAGCTAAGCCCTTGTCCCTACATCGGTGCCCTCAGGCTGGGATGCCGGACCTGGGCCCATGCAGGAGCAGAGCTGCTGCCTCCCCTGCAGCACAGGAAGAGCCTTCAGGTCCCTCCTTTAGCTCAGCTTGGGCCACCCTTCCCTCTCCTGGGACCTGCCGCCAGGTCTCAGGGAAGCTGGATGCCGCAGACGAACCGAGGGACGGCAGCATACTTTGAAGCCCTGCGACGGAAGGGTACAAGATCACCAGGTGATCTTCAGGCAATAGGAAGCAAAGTTGATGTGTGTCAGTCCACTGGGATCGGTTTTGCTCCTGAGGCAGCGAGAACAGCAGCGAAGGGAGGCAGTGGGCAGCTGGGTGGGAACCATCCCCTGTGGTGACCAGCAGCAGGTTTCCTCACTTTTCTGCAGCCGAAAGCTTTCTAATCTTTCTTCTGGCCAGGCATGCCATGAAACAGCCTCAGCTATAAATCCTCAGCATTAAATTAATCCATGGCCTTGTTTCTTCTTACCCATTAATTTACCATCACAGCCCCGCCCCCGCAAGCTCGTGCTCTGCAGCAGGGGGATGATGGATCACTGCTCAAAACCCCTGAAGGGGATCAGTCCTCCCCCAAGAGCTGCTGGCACACATACGCAGCAGCTCAGCATGCACTCCCCCAGCTCTCTGCCATCCCAGGAGCTGCTGGAGATGCCCCCAGTCCCAGAAGGGGACCTGCATGTCCAGCCCTGAGTAAGCAGAGGGATGAAAAACCTGACTGAGCTTGCCCTATGTGGGATGAGGGAGTTGGTGGAGTCAGACACAGGCGCACCATGTGGGATGAGGGAGTTGGTGGAGTCAGACACAGGCGCACCACCCTCCCCATCCCAGCTGGTTTCACTGCGCTTATGCACCCGGTTGCTGCAGAAAATCCCCCAGATGCTGGTACCAGCAGGGCCAGATCGCCCCCCAAGCCCAGGCCTCAGCAAGGGGTCAGGGCACAAACTTCTGCAGCAAAGCTGCTTGAAGCCGAGTCTGTCATTGCTGCTGCAGCATCAGTGCATGCGGGAGGCTGAGAACAGACAGTGATGGGGGAAGCACACCCTCTACGGGACAGATTTATTGAGACAGTCAGGACCTAGCAAAGAAAATCAACTGTTGGCTTTAATTATTGCATACATCTTAATTTCTAGGACTAGGAAAATTTCAACTGATAAATATATATTTCATCAGAATGCCTTTGGCTGTAATATACCATTAGCACATTCTTCAAAATTACAACAAAAGTCTTAGAAATGTTAAAAAGGGATTTTTTTCCTTTACTAAAATAAAGGAGTGCACCCCCCACCCCAACAAGGCGCTAGGACTGACAGACAGGAACTCTTGGCTGTGCAAAGCAGAGCGTTGATTACAGTAACAGAAAGAAGTCAGGACAGGAGTGGGGAGCCTGCATAGCACTCAGTGAGAGGTACGGGAGGCGGCTGCAGCAGTCAGGTCAGCATGTCCCAGAGGCAGCAGCAGCAGAGCGCGGTCCAGCACGCCGTCAGGCAGGCACTCTCGCCTGTGTCGTCCCTCCGCCGCTCCTCCACGACGTACACTGCGGGGACAGGAGAGCTCGGTCAGTCAAAGAGCAGCACAGCAACACCCGCAGCAGCCAACCACATCTGCCACCCCTGGCACAGCCGGCCTCGGCACAGTCATGGTGCCTTTCTGCACCCCAGCACTCACTTTGGGTGGCCCACACTTGCTAGAGACAAGCTGGGTGAGCACTGGCAGGAGGGGAGGTGCTGAGCTCCCGTACTGGGCGCTGCAGCCCCTTGGGCCATGATTTCATCACTGCAGCAGCACCTGGTGAGGACCCACTGCCCTCTCCCATCACTGCAGCACCCCTCGGACAGGACAGGTCCCTGGGGGAAGCGCTTCTTTCCGCAACCAGGCCCAGGCTGCTGGGACTGCACAACGTTACAATCCTGACACAAGCAGCAGGCTCAGGACAGCCAGGACCAGACTTCTGTTAGGTTGCATAAGGTTTCTGAGCGAGAAAACAGGCTCAGTCTGGAAAGTATCTGCTCCAAGTGAGCTGCCCTGCCGGGAACGCCGGTGCCTAAGCCTCCCTGCCTGCCCCACTGCACCCCCCCTCGGCAGCCCCCAGCCAGGGGTTGGTCCCTGGAGCAGAGTGCCCATGCGTGTTCCTCCAGGCCCAGCACAGCTGCCCTTCCCGGGGCAGGAGGTACCCAGCACAGGCAGTGGTGCTGGAGAGGACCCTGCACTCCTACAGCACTTGGGGTGCTGGGGAAAGGAGCACGTGCGAGGAGGGTGGTGGGTCAGATGTGGTCAAGGGCCATACTCCTACCCAGACGCTCACTCGCTGCCCCTCCTCAGCAGGGCAAGATGGGAAAAGAGGATGAGAAAGCTCATGGGTCATATAAAGACAGGGAGACTGCTCACCTATTCCCATCATGAGCAAAATGGGCTCAACTTGGGGAAAATTAAATTAATTTATTACCCATTAAAATAGATTTGGGTAGTGAGGAACAAAGACAAACACTAAAGCATCACCTTCCCTTCACCTCCTCCCCCTAGCAGCACAGGGGGTCAGGGAGTGGGGACTGCGGCCCGTACATCCCAGCTCCTCTTTGCTGCTCCTGCCGGGAAAGGTGAGCCGTGTGACCATGTGTGCAAACAGGGAGGTGACACCTGCGGGCTGGGGTTGTTTCCCTGCAGCCTTGGCAGAGCCCATGCCCCCTCCTCTCAGCAATCTGTGCGCTGGGTACATTAATCTTTGGAGGGATCGTTAGGCACCTGGTGATGCAGAAGGCAGCACAAGGCTCTCAGCAAACAGTGCTGAGACCAGCAGGAGCAGCTGCCCTGGACCAGACTGGGTACTGCTGGGGGCTGTTGCGGAGCTCCCAGCTGGGCTGAGCTCCAACACGGCACAGCCTTTGGGCACCAACACAGGGTCCCTGCCAGGAGAACCTCCTCCAGCATGGGTCCTCTCCACAGGCCACACTTCCTTCTGGAAACATCCACCTGCTCCATGGTCCTCCACAAGTTGCAGCAAATACCTGGAGCACCTCCTCCTCCAACCCTCTACTGTTTCTCACTCTTTTGTTCCCCTCTTCTCTCTCTGGCATTTTCTGCCCTTTCTTAAATGTGCTCACACAGAGGCACTACCAGCTTCTGCTGATGTGCTCAGCAGCATCCTGCAGTAAGTCTGTTGGGGAGCCTTGCCACCTACAGCAGGGCAAAGAGGTAAGGTCTCAGGGGCAGGGAGGTGGCCTCAAGGTGAGACTCAGCTACTGCATTTGAAAGGCCGTGGGGAGGTGGGTACAGACAAGTCCCGGCAAGAGCCAAGGTCAGTGGCAGAGCAGTGTCCCCTCCTGCCCCTCAAGGCTGGAGAAAACTATCAGATTATGATTTACTTTCTTGTTCTGGCAAGTGGAAAGCCACGCTGCTTTCCTGTGCTGCATTTTGGGCATTGGGCAGAGGCTGCTTCTGCACCAGCACTGCTCAGTGGTAGGAAGAGCTCGCTCTGCCCAAGCAGCGGTCCCCACAGAAACGGCAGGGATCAGATCTGGATGACTGACCTACCCGATTATAAAGCCACCTGGTCACTGCAAGGACATGGAGCAGTAGGAGGCTGTGGCAGAGCTGGATGCATCGCCTACAGAGCCTCCCTGTCGCAGCAGCCCCCACAGCTGAACAAGGAACACCGACAGTGCCCATGACCAGAGGGCTCCAGGATCAGCAGTAAGTGGGTGGGTTCCTTGCCACTGGGTCATTGCCATGCACAATCGAACCCCACAGTTTCAGCACAGTGAAGATGACAAGAACCTGCCTGCTGCCAGGTCTGCCAGGACCCACAGGCAAGAGAGGTTGGCTAAGCACCCAGGGCAGAGTTTTCCAGGAGATGCCATCTTCCATAGCTACAAGTGCATTTGCAGTTTGTCTGCTTGTTGCCTCTTTAGACTGGCACCACCAAGTCAGCTTGCTTGCTTGAATAAGTAGGTGTTCCCTGACACTGCTCCAGCCCTGTCCCACACATAACAACTGTCTCCTCCCCTAGGAAGTCTGGGCAGGGATCAGTCCTTGCTCTAGCTCTGTGACCATCTTGCCTGCTAGGGGACTTCCAGCTCTGCCTGCTCAGCACCTGAGGCACAGCCAGCTCTTACCAGGCTAGGAGGTGGCAATCCTCAGACACCTCACCTGACAAGCGGTGGATGCCTGGATCACGCCCCCAAATGCTCAGGGTATCGCCTCATGGACAGAAACGTATAAGCTCTGCCCCTCCCAGGCTGCCCAGAGGCTCCCAGCAGCCTGTTGGGATTTACTGGGCATTGCTGGCTGCCTGAAAGCACAGGAGGGAGCCCCAGGCAGTGGTGCTGGAGGGGACTCTGCACTCCTACGGCACTTGGGGTGCTGGGAAGGAAGCCCATGGGAGGAGGGTGGTGGCTCTCTCCCCACAGAGTCTCCTACCCGAGGCCAATGTGCTGCCTGCCCCTGAAGCCTATTTGGGACAGATGAGCAGTTTACCTCTGGTTCCTCCTCACTGAGCTTAGGCTATCACACCCAGAACTGCAGCAGTTTGGAGGCAGGCACATGACCAGCCTTCCTTAAAGCTTTCTTGGGTCTGTTTGTTATCGTCTGCATGGGAAACATGCCCTCACACAGGAGTCTGACCCAGGCAGGCAGCTAGTGCTTTAAGTCGAGTGGCTGAACACGGGGGGGTTGACAGCCAGAGGCCTGGGCAGGAGACAGCCCAAGTCATCAGCCTGGTCCTCCCATGGGCTTGCTCTGTGCTCAGAAAAATATTTTTCCCCCTTCACTGCTTCAGTTCTCTCAAGAGCAATGGGTGGAGGATGATATGCTCCGGCTTACATGATACCAAAATCCTGCCACCATTGGGATGTGGCAGACAGATGAATAGCCCAGTAACTTCCGCCCCAAAATATCTGCCTTCAGCTACAGTCTGTACCCCAGCGTCAGGCAGCCTCCCTCCTGTCAACGGGAATAACACAGAGGGGAGGCATCTGCTCTGCAGGCACAGCCCAGCTCCAGAAGAGCCACCACATGGCACTGGCAAAGCATCACCATCCACCCTTCCCTCCAGGGCTTTGCAGCTGCCCTGCAAGCATTCCCTCACAGCCTGCATCGCCCTTGGTCCAGGTGTGTCAGGGTGGAAGCACATCTCTTTTCTCTGGACAGCCCCAGGAGGAGGTGGCAGCATGTGGTGCTGTGACAGGCCGTGCTGGAGCGGGAAAGGTGCCACGTGCTCCCCTCCTCCAGGAGGTGCTGGCCCTGCTTGCCCCTCCAGAGCCAAAGCAGGCACCTCCAGGCAGGAGCAGGGCCGGACCTGATGGACACCTGGCTCCCGTGCACAGACCAGGTCCCTGCAGGCTGTCTGGAAGCGCTGAAGCGGTGGGGAAGGCTGCACAACCTCCTCCCCACAGCCTGTGGCCAGGGCAGGGCTGCACCCAGGGCCAGCAGCCCTGCTACACTGGCAAGGAGTACAGAACAAGGTCAATGACTTGTGAGCCCAGCACCCTGGCCTTCTGTGATCCGAGACAGCCGATTTCATCCCTTTGAAAGGGTGGACCACAGACCCATTCCATCCAAAGGCGGAATCTGTCCCAAGGCAGACAGGACTCTGGTCAGGCCCTTCTTACCTGCCTGCAGCCCCAAACTTGCACTCAAAACCATGCAGGGAAGACCTGCAAAGGCTTCACATTCAAAAGCATGAAGACCTGTGAGCGTTTGACCTTATACAGCATTGTATCAGTAGCTCTCTATTCCCTGCCTGTACTCCCTGGTGAGGTGACCCAAGTCCACTCATTCCTGTACACCTCTGTGCAGTGTAAGCTGTCATCAAGTGGCCAGTCCGGTTCCTGGAGCAGTGGGCTACAGCAGTCACCGACCGCTCAGCACCGGGAAAGAGGGAGCTGTGCCCTGCCTGTCCAGGGCAGAAGCTGGCCACACTGTTTGGCTTTTCTTCCCCAACCGGCACTGCTGGGAGCACTGGACACCCTGCCATTCAATCTGTTTACCCTCCTCAGCTGAGCGGCATTCCCCCCTGCAGCAGACAGAGCTGCCCTTCAACACACCAAGCTGTGAGGAGAAGCGAGCCCTGGTGCCAGGCGACACCTTTGTGCAAACCCAGTCATACGACCATGCTCTTCAGGGAGGGGAGCAGCAGGGCAGAGCTGTGCAGAGCGAGTTCAGCTTGCAAGGGCTGAAGGAAGCACTGGTGTTTTTCAGGTTGGAAAAACCTTCAGGTATTTTTTTCCCCCTGGTGGATCCAGGAGCTCTGAACGAGCAGCAAACTCTTTGATGCCTTTGCTTCCTCTGAGAAAGTCCTGATACAATGAGCAAAAGCAAAACACACACCAAATGCAAGACGATGACATGCAGTTGTTGGGCAGGGCAGAGCGCGCACACAACAGGCAGAGATGGCCACGAGATCCTCACCACAGAGTGGGGTACCAGTCATGCTTTCCTGCCCGTGTTCAGGTGGGAGAGGATGCTCAGCCGCTCCTGCCATCCCTCAGAGCAAACAGCCAAAGGTGCTTCTCCCATGGCTACTTAGGAAGCTTCCGAACC